TTCTTCTTGTTTGATGAAATAATACGTCTCTTCCTAAAAGCCCACTTTTACTTTTTTCCAGAAGGGGTTAAAGATGCTTCTATTAAGGTAAGCAAACTTTGTAATTTGTGTAATTCGTAATGTTAGTTTTGAGCTTTGTACACTGTGGCCTCTTGTGGGTTCTTGGAGGAGGAAGGGAGCACATGAGAACCTGTCTGGGTGTGCTGGGTGGCCAGGTGTAATAATGAAAAATTCCGAAAAACTGCTGCCATGCTACTGCTGCCAAGCTGTATCATCCACACATGATTGTCCAGGTACATGGAGACAGGCGATTTGATGTCTAGGGAACCAGCTTATACTACTAAAGGAAAATTCCAGACCTTGTGATTTCGTCCTGCAAAGTGTACACCATCGTCACATTGTGACGGACAGATTCCAGGGGAAAAAAATACAGTATGCAGCTACTGCTTGTTAGTCTAGAAGTCTAAGTGGCTCCCATTCACAGTTGGAATTAGTCTTTACTTTTATAATAGGGATCCTTGCAGATCACATTTGGTTTATAAGTTTGCCTTGTATTAATTCTGCCAACTGTCCTTAATTGTCTGTACTCTCTGATTAAATCTCTTGTATCTTTTGGGTGTTAACTTTTTCTTCAACATTTGAGCCCTCTTGTGATCTATGTACTCTCAAACTGAAAGTCTGATGTATTACACCAAAATCCTGAAGTGATGATGTCATTGTTTGTTGACACTCTTCCCCAGAAATCCCCACCACTGTCGAAATCTGGATCTCAACCCTCTGAGGAAGGTAAAGTTTTCAACCCTTTTTATAGTTGACATTAATAATTGTGGTAGCTGACCATCAATGTTTGTTGTAGTTGATCATCAATAATAGTTGTAGTTGACCATCAATAAGAGTTGTAGTTGACCATCAATAATTTTTGTTGATGTCGACCATCGGTACTTATATCAGCCTCTTTAGTTCCTGTTACAGGACACATAACTTACGTCGCATAAAATATCTGACATAAAACTTATGAAACGTGTCGTAACTTCGTTATTTTTTAACTGAATTGTTGATGCTGTTTTTTGCCTGGGTCGTCAGATCAAATTGAGGAGGAGATACAAGAGGAGCTCGCTGAACTTTTGGACGACCAACGGGAGGATTCATCAAACTCGGCCAGGAACTCTGAGCTCTCTGATGCTTCGGAGCCAAGAGTCGTAGAGTCTGACAGTGAAGGTGTTATGATGATGGCAACGAGTTCTCGCATGAAAAGCAGACGCCCTAAAGCAGTAAGTCTGTCTCATGAGGATGGGTGTTGTCTCCTCCTCTGGCAATCAGCGGCTGAATGATGGGGTTAAAGGGGATTTTCGTTTAGTTTGCGATGATGCCTCATTTTTTTTGTTTTCAAGTTTGTAGCACAACTTACAATTCATTGCTCTCTCTATAAAAACAACAGGCAGACACTGTCACAATCATCATTTCGGAACTGTCCCTTGAGGAAGACTCTCCACCAATGAAAGATGATGATGTCAGACAGCTTTTTGTGGAGTACAGGTTTTACGATGTTGACCCCATGGAGACTGAGACTCCATTTTCTCTACCCAAACCAAAACCCCACCACTCGATTGCTTTCAACTTCAGTAAAAGTACGTCCTCAGGTTTTTAACTTTAAAAAAATATACATATATAACACTTGTTACAACATCTGAAGACCTGGAACTAGAGTATGTAGTTAGTTGCATATCGTCCTAGTCTTAGTTGCATATCATCGCATTCTTAGTTGCATATCGTCACAGTCGTAGTTGCATATAATCACAATGTCAGTTGGCATTTAGAGATCTTGAAACATCTGGGTACAATGACACGTGAATGATAAAAATTCAAGAATTTGCAGATTGATGCAGTACTAGTTGAACATTCCGTCTTGTAAAGAAGAGTTTCACAGTTATGCTTCTTGTGTGCATGAGTCACTGCTGATGGCAGCTGTCTCCTTTGAAACAATTCATCAGGAAATATATTTGTTACTACCTCAATCTGTAACCTCTCTCACAGCTATTCCGGTGGACATGGATAAGAACTATGAGCGTCGAAGATACCTGGCCAGCATGCTGCTGCCCAACCACCCTGATAAAGGGAGGTTAGTTTGTTTTTGTTTTTTTAATCTGCTTTTTAAGACTACACGTGTAATACAAATTTAAAATTTGTATTTTAATATTTACTATATGTTTTAAAATTTCATACTTAGCTATATTTAGGCAGCATGATCATGTGTGGCCATCTCAAAAAAAGATGAGGTATTTGTTAAAATAGCTAAGTCTGTTGCATCTTTAAAATCATATTTCAAAAATCCTCTAAAAAATTGAGTTACATTTATAAACAAGCTATCTGCTCTTCATGTGCAGCACTAGGAAGGTAAAGAGAGCATTTAAGGGGGGCTTCTTTACATTTTGCTATGTTACTGAACCCAAAAATATTTATAAAAAGAATATTATTAAAACCAGTTTTTAGATATTTTTGCCATTCTGCTTCAGGAAATGCAGTCTCCAGTAACAATAAAGGTCAACTCTGCACTGTCACATTATTCAATGTACTCTGGCAGACCCTGAACTGTCACATTATTCGACGTACCCTAGCGGGCCCTTAACTGTCACATTCAATGTACTCTGGCAGACCCTGAACTGTCACATTATTCGATGTACCCTAACGGGCCCTCAACTGTCACATTATTCAATGTACTCCAGTTGAATTTTCTACCACCCCAGCTTTTTCTTTCATATTTCTAAAAGGTTAAAGTTCACCGTGGTCAGTGAACCACCAGAGAATGTCGGAGAGTCCACCGAGATGGAGTGTGAAGATGTGGGTGTCGCCTATGTGGATCTGAGGAAAATGCTGAAGGAAGGCAGGGACTTGAAAGAGCAGAATATTGACTGTAAGTCGTGACCTAGATCAGATGTGTAGAACATTAGTTATTGGGGGGGGGAAGACACATAAGATCCAATTTAATTGTTGTAAATTAAAATCTCAGTGGATTTGGATCTCCTTGAATTACTGAAAAATGCATTGTTGTGGTTTAGTCATGTCCACTCTTACAATTTTCGTACACAATGTATGATTTCAAGATGTATTTTAGGATTGTACGCAGATATCTGTCGGAACTGCTATTCTAAGAGACAGGGTTGAAAAATATATCCTGTCAGTTTTTACGATTTAAAATATATATATATATTTTTGGTTGTTAGTCTGAGCTCCTTTCTACATCCAGCAGTGATTACACCAAGAAACATTATTATTTTAAAATTTGTTCAGCTTATTGTATCCTTGTAATTGTTTTAAATCCTTTTCTTTCAGTGCTTGATGCCAAGACAGAGAAGACTGTGATAGGCCAGATGATTGTAACTGTGGAATGTGTGGCTGTGATGAAAGCTGTCGAGAAAGAGATGCAGATTGATGGGACATTTTAGTTTGCGCTGGGGGGGAAAAATGTGTTAAAAAACTGGATTCATTAGGCATTAGTTTTTATTTAAAAGTATTATTTTATTCAGATATAAATTTAAACTGAAATATAGTTAGCATTTTTAACAAACTTGGTTGCAATGACATTAGGTTAAGGAAATATATAATTTTCTTTTTTTAAATTAAAATTAGATTTAATGTAATTTTTAAAACTTTTTTAATGCATTTTCACCGGTCAATATTTTGTTAAAATGGTGGGAATTTGTAAATTAACTGTTTGTTCATCAAGGCTCCGTACTTGTAACTTTTTCTTAGTCAATTAAAGTAATTGATTTGTGCTTAACATGTTTTTTTGCACATAAATTTATCAGCACGTTTTTTTAATCCTACTGTTTTGATTTAATTAAACATCACGATGAACTACTTGATGCCACATTGCTGGGATTTGAACTTAAGACCACAAAGCCTACCGTCAAAACTCCTCAGTTTTTTTTTAATGAATTTGTTTTAAACCAAAATAGAAAGTACTGCAAAAGATTTTTGTTCTTTCCAAAAACAATTTTTTTAATGTTATTTAGATAAAATTTAGACTCCTGAATCAAGTATTAATTAAAATCCATTAGACAAAAATGTATTCAAAAACGAAAATCTGTGTACCAATTTAATGATGTGCTCCATTTAAATGTGAATAATTGAAAATGAAAGATTTCTTGTGCAGCAGTGAAGGGATGTGTTTTATTTTTTGCTCCCTCTCAAAATGAGAACTGATCCGTCCCATTATATTTTAAGTTAAAAATGTATCATTAGCCTACTTGGGTAGAAATAATTTTTTTTTCAATTATTTATTAATATCATTTTCCTGCCAAAATATTTTGACATATCAATGTTTATTTCATTCAAATAATCATCATTTTAATTTTTAAACAGTGGGTCACAATTGAAACCAGCTGATAATTCATTTAAAGCTGCCATTTTTCCTCTCCATTCAGAGAACTTCAGAATGCATTTGCTTAATTTTGTAGTTAATGTTCAATGCAACTGATTGTGGAATAAAGAACATCATTAAATAATTATTTTTTTTCTATTATAAAGTCACAAAGGATTGATTACCTTTTGGTTTGTATATCTTCAGATATGTCAGGAAATTAGAAATCAAAACCAAATTATGGTTATAATTATTATTGTAAACCATGATTATTTATGCAAAAGATATTTTTCACATTAATTATCTCGAGTACTATCAAGAAACATCATTTATTTTAAAGTTAGAAATCTGATTCTCAAAACAGTCTAAATTTTGCTGTACTCATTTACTCATTGTAATGTAGTATAAACAATGATTTTTCTGACTTTATTTAGTAATGTATCACTGCTGTTGGTATCCATAAAAAAGCAAGTTTTACAAGTGTTACATTACTTCAGAATACAACAATATCAGGGTACCAGTATTTTATGATTTAGAAGAGGTCATACTGTTTTGAACTCATGTGAACTCATCAGAGCTCATGCAAACACAGGAAAAGTGAACAAAAGTATACATTTCATATTAGTTAAAATTATGTTAGCTATGTAATACCAATATTCATTAAAAAAAATTATATGTACTTAAGTAATTATTTAGTTAATAAATTTCCCTTCTATGTATTACGCTGCAGTTTATTTTTTTTGTTTTGCTTTACTTTAAGGACAGAAACAGACGAGTAACTTGGACTTAAGTGATTAGCTCCAATCCCATAAACAACAAATACAATTTGAAAAGCCGATGCTCATAATAAACCCAGGCAACAATATAAACTCAGGAGACAAAAAACAATATTTAATTTTATTTTCTGGCCATAAACATTTAAATAGTTTTATTTTTAAATGAAAATTTTACAAATCCATTCAGAGTTACAAACACAAACACTAGGTTTGTTTTACAGCTAACAATGCCCCGAGCCATTCTGAGATCTCTGCTGTCGGTAACAGACTAGAGTTCATGTTTTTACTATAATCAATAAATGCCAAACAGTGGAGGAAAAAGGACAGTGACAAGTCTTTGATTAGAAGAACATCCCTCCTCCTGACCACTCCATTCTCTGAAAGGAAGAAACATAAAATAGATATTAAAATTGTAAGGCTTTTTAGTACAGTAGTAAAGTAAAAAAGAGTACAACAAGCAAGAATAGATCTGAAAATGTATCCTTCAGGTTACAAAAAGAAAGATAACTTTTATTTAAAAGCTGTCATTTAAGTAGACACATTTCGGTATTTTGATGGTTAGGGTCCATAAAGTAAGCATAGGAAAAAAAGACTGTCCTGACACATGTCAAGAAAATATATTAAATAAAAATATTTTCACAAAAAAATGAGCTGCTTAATTAATCGCTCTATAGTTGTGCATTTATAATATAATTTTTTTAAAGATATTTTTATCCAACCACCTTAAACCAGGGAACACATGAAAAGTGATTTTCTTTTCTATTTTTTCCTTTGGACTGAGAGATTATTAATCAGAAAATCCTGCAAAAATTTTGCAGTTTCATGAAACCATTTCTTTTCAACCTCATCCACTTTACCTCTTGTGGCTGGACAAAGGCCAGCCAGTCTGATGCATGTGTAGGCAATAATCCCATTGTCTGACATTTATAGACAGCCATGGCTAAACAAGCCAAATTTCCTATACAGTAAACAAGCTTCTGGAATGCTGCTTGATCACCCTCTATGCTTTTGAATGCTGTGGCAAAGAAATGAAGATAAAAATAAAATCAAGAAGATCCCTAAATGAGGAAAGCTTAAAGGGAACCAGTCACTCCCCTTAAACAGTGGGTGAATTTAGTTAGATATCATTGAGAAACAATGCTTTGTGGTGGTTGCCCTATGATTGAATCATTAACCCACAAACTGCCACATGCAAACGTTCTGTCGTGCAAACACTTTTGAGTCACTTTGATATGTATCCCTAAAATAACCAAAACTAATGGAGAATTAATCCAGAGACCAACATAAGTATAGATATGGTGAACGATCTTTCTCTTTCTGTGCCCCCCAAATAATGGAATTCTCTCCCATTTCACATCCGCAATATACCAAGTGTCCCAGCCTTCAAAACTGCCCTCAAGACTCATCTCTTCAAATTGTACTATACTGACTCATTCTCACCCCCCACCCCCACTCCTTGCTGCTGGGTGCTGTTCATGGCTGGACAGGGGTAAATAGTACTTGGGTGGGTGAGGTCAAGATTTTTACCAATTGTTGTTTTTAAATGTATAATTTTATGTAACTGCTAGTTTTTATATTAAGCGCTGTGAGCCTACCCCAGGATTCCTACACTTTTTTAAAAACAAAATTCCCGACTTTTTCCCAACTAAAAACAAAAAATTCCTGACTATCGCAATGCGGCGTTTTTGTTGATAATATAAAAATCCATACAATTATCAAAGTAAAGCAACGTTGAAATACATAAAAAATTAACAAAAAAATTAAGCGATTGAGGTGTATACGTGTAAATATTTATTAAATTTCCTAGCAATTTCAATTTTTCAATTTACTTGGAAGTGAAAAATGTTTGATGTTTACTTTTACAGTGCAAAGGCAACTTTTGCAGTGGGTTCTCTGGGGCATTTTAGCACATACCTATAGTTGAAAGCATCTTTTCTTATATGGAGCTTTCGTTCTCTTCTTTGTGATGAAAGTGGATAGTTTGAGTTAATACACTTTGACTTTAGTGTCTATAAAATGGGGTACTGCGCTATATAAAGCCACCTTAATAATAATAATATTCAGAGGGTATATTGGACGAGGAACCATATGGAATAAATGTTGGAATCCTGTGAGCCTAGTGAAATTAATATGACCTTGACCTTTCAACAGTGAGAACAATTGTGCTACTGTTTATCCTAACTCAGCTCACACCCGCAATTTTTGGGTCATTTTTTATTATCTAAATATGTTTTCCAGGCGAAAAGCATTATTATTTCAGTTTAGAAAATGTTAAGTTGTTACCATCGCTGTTTATAGAAATTTTAAAAAATAATAATATATTCATTTGGTGCCCAACATAGTTCTAAATATGATGCCTATTAAATTCATTAGTTCCAATTCTCAGCTACTTCTCCTCTTAGAAATTGAACCACTACTGGTGCCTAGCTCCACTATCGTAATTATCACTAACATGAGTATTGCCAACAAAACTATCTTCAAAATCCCTCTATTTAGCTTTTCTTTTTTTTAATATTAATACTCTAATGGAATGTTTTAAATTAATATTTTAGTAGGTGATAAATTATGATAATATTAATACTCCAAAATGTAATGTTTCAAATTAATATTTTAGTAGGTACTTAATTATGATAATAATAATACTCCAATGTAATGCTTCAAATTAATACTTTAGTAGGTGATTAATTATGATAATAATAATACTCCAATGGAATGTTTCAAATTAATATTTTAGTGGGTGATTAATAATAATATTTAAAAAGAGGCAGGCGCTTTGGAATGGGTATTTATTTTTCTTCCAATTTTTAGATTTTATTTTTGTTGGCTCCTGCAATAAAGTGTGTAAAAATGCATTCAATGAATCTGTAAATTGGGTTTTCATATATTTGAATATTTTAAAAATAACTTTATCTTAGTATTAAAACTTACAATTTACTCAGTACAGTACACTGTGTAATTGTAGCAAACAAACACACGGTTTAGGGTTCACGTTAGGTCATAGATTTTAGATTTGAAGATTTACGCATGTTAAGAGGGACTTATTTTATGGGGGAATTTACGATTGAATTAGGGATACTGATTTAGCATTTAGGTTAGGTAGAGAAATACAACTTAGGATTGTAGGCATTTCCCAGAAATTGATTGAATTAAATTAAAGTTTTGTTCCTAACTTTTGTTTTTTGCTGTAAGTAGCTTACACAGCACATTCTCTCTCTCTCCCCCTCCCTCCCCATTTTAGCAAATATGTTTTTTGCACTACTTTTTTTTTTTGTACACACATCCGCCATCTTGGTAGCTATAACAAGTCAGCCATCATTGCAATCAAGATGGCAACTGTGGGAAATGAGTGGTGCTCCGAATATAAATTTAACAAATTGGAGTTTTGTTTTGCAGGGCCAACATCTGAGCCTACAAGTTAGTTCCAAGGAAAGAAAAACATCCTAAAATGTCAACTTTATTCAATTTAAAAAAACAAAAAACACATTAAATATTTACCTTAGTTTTCTATAACTAGGAAGTAAATCTAGTTTATAAGAGTTACCTCTCTTCTTTACCTCCCCACGGGGTAAAAAAAACCACTTAAAACTTCTGAGTATTTATTATATTAATTTTAGTAAAGACTGATGATTATATCCGCTGCAGCGCAATAGATATAGAGGCATCTGCAACACCACATAAACGCCCATAATGACAGATAGGTTAATTCTTTAAGATATTTAAAACAAAATGATCTTCAAAAAAAAAAGGTGCTTAATTATTACTTCATCAAAACACAAAATTTTAGTATCATAAAAGAATTACTTTGTATGGATATTTGCATATATCTAGTTAAAAAAAAATATAAAAAATATTGCTTGATGTTTAAGATAAGCAAAGCTGGTAAAAGAAAATAATTTGATTTAAACATTTAAAACTTATGCTAATAATAAAATCTATATACATAATACGCCAGAAAAACTAGGGCAAGAAGACGACAAGAACAAGACAACGACAAAGGCTATATATAGATACGCCAGAGCAAGCAAGATGCAGGCAAACCCTCCCTTCCCTTGCCTGCCCATTGCTGGTCTTGAGACATGCTCACTGCGTGGAGCTACCCCACCCCCACCTGCACCACCCTCGCTTACCAGCCATGCGCACACCCCAACAAGCTCTGAGCCAGCGAGCAATTCTGCGACGTATGCTATGCCGCAGGTCGGCTAATTAAATATATTATGTCACTTACTATTTTGAATCGACAGCATGGCTTGGATTGGCCTAAAGAACATCATACCCACCATCATGATGGGAAATATGGAAATTGAACTGCCAGCCATCCACATAATGAACATGTTCATGGGAACCTGTTTTATTGGCCCTAACGCTATGTCCCAGGATCGCTGAAATGTTAAGAAAATAAATTTTTTATACCTAAGTATAAGTTATAACAAAATCTAAAAACAGGTATTCAAAAAAAATTTTTTTAAATGGTTTAAAATGCCTTTTAATTTCTAACTTGTTATTTGACTTTGACGATTAATTAATTAAAAGCAAATTATTGTATTTGTATGGCTTATAGTAGAAAATGCATGGACAATTTACTTTGTTAATAAGGCCGGGATCAGCTTCTCGTGGCCTCTCAGCTACTGTAGATAAGTTTTCAAACCCCACAGGTGATGGCAAGTTTTCTGTAGATGCTACTAAGGCTCTTTCTCCTCGGCCCCTGCCACAAAGTAAAATATTTAAAAGTTTCAGTATAATTATGGAAAGGAATATTTGCAATGCTGTCTGCATTTCACAAAAAAAAAAATAATGTGAGTAGATTGAGACAAACAGGACATTATCGACTGTCACCACTATTACTATTACCATTCTATTTCCATTTGGCATTTGCTGACCCATCAGACAGAAAAATTAAAATCATTACCGGGTACTGGAATCAGATTCAAATGATTCATGGTTTTTGTCTGATGTTTCAGCATCAATAATTCTCAATAAATGCTCTTTTGTTTGCAAATTTGACAACCTATGTGGTCTAGCAACAGTTGATGTGCTTGTAGTAGGCATGACATTGTTTTGTTTACTAAAGTTTCAACACAAATTTTTAAAAAAAGGTTGCAATTGTTGGAAAAATAAATGTAAAAAAAACCTACTTCTAACAGAAAGGAACTCGGAAGAGTTTTACTTCATTTGAGAACACAAGAAGTAGAATTGATGATAGCCATAGGCGACGAAATTAACTACAGAAATTAAATATACAGTATCTGATATCTGATTGACAGAAATTCGGCCAGTCAAATCGACGATATATTGTAGATTGGCACGGAAAGAGTTAAGTCTGAAATAAAATAATAATAATAGGGCCTAAATAATAAAACCAATAGCCATAGCAATAGTTAATAGAATATTGTAGAAAACACTGATGCAGGCTCAGAAAGATGGAGAGTCAAGTGCAACACTAATCATTAAGTCCTAACAACCAGCAAAACAAGGCCGGAATTACAGCGGCTAAGCCTTAGGCTAAGGCCACTAAGTCTAAGTCTAAGTCCTTATTAGTACAGTAATTGGCCTAAGTCTAAAATTCTCCAACGAACTGCACCATTTAGTTTAGTAACATTTGGAAGCAGGAAAGCCTAGCAATAATTCTCAAGTAAATGTAATGGGATTGAATTAATTTAATTAGGATACCCGTCGTCTTTCCCTTCTTTCTCTCTACAAAGACTAAACTTTCCAAGTCCAAGTTTCTACCCCGGAAAGTTTAGGCTTAGGCGGCTTAGGCTTAGGACTTAGGGCTTGGCATATTTATTTTTTAAAAATCATAAAAATACGTTCTAAAATTCTAAGTTTAAAAGGCCAAATTACAAGTAATTATTTACGCTTTAAAAAAATTACGTTTTACCTGTTCGATTGAACAAATTCGATGGCCCATTTATTACGTCTTTTAGACATTTTATCAAATATTTTACGGTTAAAAAGAAATAACTAGTAGGCAAAATACAAGAGAGTCGAATTTTCAGGAACGAAGATGAATAACTCTTAAGGTTAAGTTTCAATGCTACACATCATAGTGGAACTCTTCAGCTTTATCCTTTTCGCCTTATTAAAATTTTATAGGTAAATCCGATGGTGCTCATCATCATCAACTAGCTAGAAACTTGTGAACTTGTGGGTTCTTTTTTTCCGTCAAAAACAAAAAGAAATAATTAATGAGGAAGTAGATCAATTTACTGAATTTTTCTAAGTCTTTTTATTCAAATGTTCTTTTCATTGTTATAATGGTTGTTCAAATGAAATTAAAATCTTGTGAAGAATAAATTTCATTGTGACAATAGGATAGTAAGAAACAAGAAAAAGATGCAAAGTCAATTAAAATAATTGTTACCAGTGGCGTAGGAAGATGGGCGTCCGCCCCTGATGGCCCTTTTTTGTAACACTACCATGGCGCTGATTTCACAAAATAAAATGTTCGATCACTGCGCTAAATGAGATTCTTAAATATACCGAAAGTGCGTTTGGTGCGTAATATTTTCATCTGCTTTACGGAAAAAAGTCTCACTTTAAATATGATGTCATAAATCTGCGGTATAAAAGGGGGGTGGGGGGTGGACATCAGAATATGAATATAGTTCAGGGGCGTGGATAAAATGTGCGCTTGCAAACCTAGAGGTGGGGTCGGGGGGAGCATTCATTGTGAATCTTATAAAGTTTTGTCATGTAACTCAAGTAGATGAGATGCACACGCATCTATTGCCAACGCCATCGGTTGGCGGGCCATAACTGTTGGTTGAATAATTCCACGGTGGTTTTTTTTGTAAAAAGGGGTGGGGGAGGAGGTGGTACATTAGAATATTAATATAGTTCAAGGTTGGTGGCATAAGGGGGGGGGGGGGCTAGCACTATTTGGGAATCTTATAATTAACTTGACTTGAATGGATCTTTTGTCAAGTAGGTAGAGTAGATGGGAAGTTTACACAATGAGGCCGCTATTGCTTGGTGGGCTATAGCTAGTATTGATACATTTATGCACACAAAAAAACAACAAAAAAAACCTTCAGTATTTGGTAGCGTTTGTATCGCTTTCTTTGTATACTGCTTTTAAATCCTTTATTACGCATTGGTCATTCTACGAGCCCAATCTTAATAACAGATTAAATTTTCCAAACCCTATACAACGAACAAATTCTTCATGGCTTAAATACTGTTATACTCTTTTTTCGTTGTTATAATGTCGGTCTGCAATAAAATTAAATTAAATCAAACAGGCAATTCATCCACGCAAATTTCTAACCTGTAAAACTACAAATCATCGATTATTTTACATGTGTTACAATCTTTAATTTTGGAAGATGTAATTTAAGTTTTTTTTTTTTTTTTTTTTTTTTAAATTTCAAAAAAAAAAAAAAATTTTTTTTTTTTTTTTTTTTTTTTTTTTTTTTTTATTTTATTTTAATTTTTTTTTTTTTTTTTTTTTTTTTTAAATGTCAAGAATAAAAAAAAATTCGTTTAGATTAATTATGCCATTGATAACGATGCGAAGTTTTCCCAAAGCTATTTTATTTTAAAGTTATCTCCCCTAAAACAAAAAAGAAGATTAACACATGGCCATGGTATAAGAAATGTATCTAAAAGTTTAAAAAAAAAACAACCACATATTATGAAGAAAATATTTAGGCTATCTAAATCAAATTCGGACATTGAATTCAAAATGAAAAAAACCCCAACATTTTCCATCTTTGACTATTTCCAATTCAGGTCTGCTATTTCCAACTCAGGTCTACTATTTCCTCCCCAGAGAATGTTTGAGAAATTTAAAATCAAGGCATGGATTTTTCTACGAATGCCTGACCCCAGTTTTGCATCAACGGGGAGACATAAAAGGTGTTTGGATATTCCGGCGTCTCTTTACATGGTTGTTTTTGTTGCATTACAAAATGCTTTTTTTTTTTTTTAATGTTGCTTAATATTAATTGTGTTGTACATTTGTTATTTAAATTTAAACTATTTCTTTCATTTAACGCCTTCATTCAATAATTTCTTAATATCTATTTAAATCGGGTCATTTTTGTTTTTACCGTATGCCTCAATGGCGTGATTATATGAACAAGCTAAATTAGATCTACAACTCAGTTAACCAGAGCAGCGAAAAGCTTGACCTGCCCCGTCGGTACTGACCTTAGCTACGCCACTGCCTTGGAGATTACGACACAACCACACTCAGATGACGAGAGGAACTTCTGCTGTGTCAGGTCGTGATCTTTGTGATGTTGTGTAAAGTGAGTGATTTTTTTGTTATTGTTGTTGTTTCCCCCCTTTAATCACGAATTTTTCTCAGCCTCGTATGACGTAGTACACATGACGTATGACCGATGTGTTCGAAAACCACGTGGTAAAAAGGTGTGTACGTTTTTGTGAGCGACGGTTAGTATTATTATTATTTTTTTATTTTTATTTTGGAGAAAGGAGTGGATTTAAATTTTTGGCGCTAGACTAGTATATTTATTCTGGGATTTCTGTTTGCTAGTGCTGTGTTGTTGGGTTTTTTTGTGTGTGATTGGTTTGTGCAGGATTTTGGACACGTCTATCTATTTATTCTAAACAGCAGTGATTATTTCTGATGTATTTTCGACTTTCACGCACACGAAGCCAGTAAATAAGAAAACCTGAAACTTTTCACCGCTTTTCGCTGTTTGGATCTTACAACTCATCAGCTGTGCAGGCAAGGGAAAGCAGTTTTGACTCTGGGAAAGTCTTTTGTTGCCGCCATACACGAAGGGTAAAACTCGTCCATCTACTTTAAATTTAAGGCATATTTAGTTTCCAAATGTTCAAATCTATAGGTTTAAACAATTGGGGGTAAAAAAAACACCTATGTTTTTGTTTTTAAATAAGTATAAAATGTATTGAAGAGGGAAGAGATTTGAAAATCGTAAAAAAACTAGTTCACAATTTTAAAAAATATTATTAGATTTATGCTTGCAAATTGGTAGGGCATATTTTTTCCGTATAAGTCCGATATTAAAAAAAAAGAAAAGTAGTTAAGAAATTAATGTGTGCGCTTAAAATTTCTTTTTTATTTCTGTTTATTCAATAAACTATGTGGTAAAAGTAACAAAGTTGAATATAACACTAAAGATTTAGATTTAAGAATAATTCATTGTAACGTGCACCATTGGTGTGTGCACACGATAAATCATAAACCGATTTTTCATCACAAATCTTATAATTTTAAATATTTGTTTTTTTTCAAGTTGTCATTTTTATCTAGCCAAACACTCATGGAATCAACCACATTTAAAATACTGCGATTATTTTGGCAGAAATATATTTATACAGAAAGATGTTATTTATACAGAAAGATATTTATAGCCCACCTTATTTAAAAATGGCAATAAGGGGAGAGAATGCAGTCATGTTAGGTAAAAGGAAATGATCGAAACAAAATATGGGGAAAACCTGAAACGAATACGAAACAAATCAACGAACGTGAGGGCAAGAAGCCTTCTTCAGCGGAAGAAAAAATACAACAGTAAAACAATATGAAATAAAAATAAACCCTTATTTGCGATGCACGGTGAGGACAGCAAGTAAGAAATAGTCAATTTAAATTGGTACAATTCTTTATTGATCCAAGTAAAGGAAAAGTGTTTCGATTACTTTGTGCATATTTTTCACCACGAAGAGTACATATGAAGACTACAGGGGAAAACCCACAGTTGTCCACTTTTTCTATTTTTGAGATAAATGAAATTTTGTGTTTGAAGACTTCAGGAGCATTTGATTTTAAAGATTTCTATTTGAAAGAATTTTTTAATGAAAATGGATTCAATCCCTGATATATAGATGTAATGATTTAGTTACTGAGCCAACATACATCTTCACAATATGCATTTATAACCAAGACATCCATTTTGGACATCAGTTGTTTTTCCCTGGCAATCCTGCACACTTAAATAATTCAAATAGTAAAGACATTCAAAGCACACACTATTTATTAAGACTTTTTCTTATGCAAGCAAACACAGAACTTCTGTCAGTCTGTTAAGATTCTGATGATTCTGAGTCAGAGTCTGATCTTTGCTCTTGGTCTGATTCCTGGCTGCTGAGGTCATCTTGAGGCAGTTGCTCGAAGAACGGTTTATTTCGCTCACTCACAAAATCTTTCAACTTTGATAAGTCTTTAAATTTTGCACTGGAGAGGGGCAGAGGAGCTGTGTAGGCTTGCCTTGGATAATCACATAACTGAGCCACATGGGCTGCTTGAGTCTG